TCAAGGGTGACTCAACGGGAAATTTTCCCTGTCGTAGGGAAAAATTGCCGAGACAGGGTTTCCCTTGTTGGGAGGGATTGAAAGAAAGCCCGCACGTTCAAGATTGGAAGGGTGCGGTTTGTACAACTGGCCGAATATATCGGATAAGCTGCGATGGAAATGTCGAGAAAAGTTAAATCTTGAAAGCGCCATCAAATAAGGCACCTTTAAGATGTTGACAGGCAGTGGTTTGTCTGAATCGTTAATAGAATTCAGGTCTTGTAATACCCGAAAGAATGGGCCTCCGTGTACGTCGCCGTCGTATCTTTCGAAAAAACAATGCCGTGTCACATCGTCATCCGATCTGCACACAAAAGCCTGAAAACATCGTCCCTAATTGGGAAAAATATCACGCATCAGCTGTCGAAATGATGCACTTTCGAGTTCAAGAACAGTTCAATGACTGTCTTGTACCTTTGCCTTTGCCTTCGCTTTTGCAACGTTCGCAAAAAGCCAACGTCCTCCTGAGCTGAGACCCCAACCTCCAGCTTGGAGACAGCAGACAAACTTGCAGTTTAGAAGTATGGAAGTTACACGGACCGACTTCACAACAGAGCGGGCGGGCCACAATTTCTTGAGTAAGAAAAGTGAAAAAATAATATGGACATACAGAAATTAGCACAGTGTCTTAACATTTCAAACCGATGAATGTAGTTTAGAACAACTAATTTATCGTTCTCTCATCAGTGATCCGAAAACACTGTTGATCAGTTTTCTTTTACAATTATTTTTGTTGACAAAAATGAATTTGACTTAACAAACATTTGTTCCGATTTCTCCGATTTAATTGACGGCCTTTACTGTTAATGTTAATGTCCCTTCGGCATATGACCGTCTAAAATTAGAGCCACAAATAAGGGGGTTCATTACGAGCTAATTTCGGTTTAATCTATTTATAAACTTCGTTAGACTTCAGCGTATTTCTGGAAGATTGTCCCTCGGCGAAGCTATTCAGCTTCATCTATAAAATCTGGGAATTTGTGGGCGAAAAAACGACTAGAAATCTTGGAAACAAGACGCAATTATTGCCACCCTTTAAGACGCGTGTCGGGGTGAATGCGTGCCATCAACCTTGGCCCTTTTGGATCCAGCGCTCTCAGCTACGGCAGCCCGGACGCTGCTCAGCTACGGCTAAAGCTCCGAATGCTGACTGTGCGCCGTTCAAGGCCAACTTCGTCGAAATACGAGCCATAGACAAATAATGCGCACTTAACTTTTTGGACAGATGGAGGATTAAGTGGAGCGAAATAATTAGCTAATAGCTATAAAATTTCTATTGGAATTGGAGATAACAAATTAATTAAGCAAATGTTTTTAATAATGGCGCCTTTCATGTGATTACGATTTTTGTGCGAATTTTTTAAATTGATTTGCATACTGCGCGAACGTAGAAATGTCTGAGCAATTATATAATTCCATGTATTTCAATGAGTACCTGCACTCATTAGATCAATTCATTTTTTTCCTTCAAAAATCTCCTCCCATTCACAAATAAATCAAAAATTTGCAACTCAATTGGTTGATAAATAGTTAGAGTTTCAATACACAGAACTGTTCGTAACCACTTCATAACCTCACTTCACAACATTATATTTTAATAGTTTAAATAATGTTTGTATCTTGTGTTCCAATGTTATGTTAAAGAAAAGTTTGCTGGTGAAAAAGGTGGTAAAGCGGTAGCTGTAAAGTCCTTCAAATTAATATACGTTTTATTCACAAGTCTTCCATACCTGCTGCTAGCTCTTGTGCGTGTCAAATTTTAAACGGTTTTAATCATTGCTTATGAGTTCTGCCTTCAGAATTATTTCAGCTCAGAAGTGCATTTTTGGCCACTTCTTCTTTTGTCTGCACCTTAACTTTCTGAGAAGAATTTTTTTTCTTCTGATAAAAGAACACCGTGGATTTCGCGCGTTTTTCGTATGGAAGATGGGAAATATAACTTTTGTTAGGCAAGAAAGAATTCATGCATATTCGACATTGCTATATACATTTTAATTTTTGAAGAACATCACAAAAAAACTAACCTCAACTATACCGTAACGCTGACATGTTTACCTGCCGCCTGGTTGCATAAAACTTATCTAAGCCTTCGCACGTTCGCTATGTTGTAGATTGCAGATCTAGTCACCCCTATATGTAAACAGCAAAATAAAATCAGTTAAAAATGTATCCGAAATATTTTCTAATAGACTCCAACTTGATAGGTATGTTCAAGGGGGTTTAGGTTATGTAAATACCTACTATTGCCGGGTAAATCCACAAAATACACTCCTACAAATTCCGTTAAGAGATGGAAAGATAAATTAAAGATAAGTGAGGTGTAAATGCGTTGTCACGTCCAATGGAAATATTTAGCTTTCTGCGAATCCAATCAACCTGTTTAGTATCACGCCTACTTCAATCGAGTTAAAAAAATGTCCTAAATCAATAATAATCTTCAGTGTTATTGTCTTGAAAGTTTAATTTATTATGCGTGGATTGAAACTGAATTCGCAATTTCACTATATTTCAAAAATCATCATCAAAATTATTTCCATGTACCTAAACGCATTAGGTTTTTAGAGTTTCTCATTAAAAATTACAATTTACTTAAAAAACGACCCTTAATTTTCATGCGCATATGCTTCCTAGATATCTAGAGAGGGTAGAATTTAAAATGCAAATTATACAAAATCTTTAAGATACTTTAAATAAGAAAGTGAAAAATAGAGAACACAATGTGTCTAGTGACGGGCATTTTACTTTGACGAATTTCCCACGAAACACGTTATGAAGTGGGAGAAAAAACACGCTCTACAGTCTACGAAGAAGCAATAAAAGCAAAAATAACCACAAGTAAATAAAGCTTTGCGGTTACTTCTACGATTTGAACATCCCACACATATGATTCCGACAAAGGGTGAGAGGAACCAGCATAAAAGAATGAACTAAATGTGGGTTAACAAGGTCTAAAGCCAATAGTCACGAAGTCGTTTGTCTAGAATGGAACAAATTGCTCAATTCCGACTAGAAAAGTTTCAAGTGTACGTGCATTATTTATCACATAAGCCCTTTAAAAACACTTTGGCGTATTGGTAATAAACCGATCTAAGCACGTAAATAAATTTCAAAGTGCAAACAAAAATTAATAATCAACCAGAAAATAAAACAACTTTGCCGTCCATTTTCACCTCTACGATTAATCAGCCCAAATATGTTTTGAATTCCCTGATAAGAACGATAAACTGTGGCCTTGCCCGTCTACAAGCGAGTTGTCAGGGTCAGGATTGCGATTCAACATTCGATTTCCAAACAATATTTCCACGCTAATCTAAAACGAAATATTTTTTTTTACTTATGAAAACAAAATCGATTTGATGTCCCGCCCATCTAAAGCCTACTGGAGAGGCCAAACATTCAAACTAGAATGGATTAATAACTACAGTACCATTGGAGGTTGTTTTAACTGGAGAGTTAATTTGAAGTTATTAAGTTAGGATTTACTTATAGGTAGTAGAAAACTACTAGCGTTTAACATGCTCGTGTCTACTTCAATTTAAAATGGTTCGAATTTTATTCACGGAAAACACACGCAAAACACCGTATGGTAACCACATTGCATTTTTGTTTTGCGATCAAAACACGTTCAATGACAAATCTAAAAATATTTCCTATCTTATCATGTAGGACCCGGGCGGTATTTCGTATTGGTGAATGACTCTCAACAGCCTCGACTCAATCAGTGAGTTTTTTTTTTAACTCACTGAAACAACATATAACATTTAAGTCGCTCAAGTGGATTCTAGATCAAAAACGCTCAACAACAAATCACGTAGGAGCTGGAAATTTTTATGGATAAACAAGTACATTTCGAAACGAGTTAAGTCTTCCAAATAAGAATAAACTCTGAAGCCAAATACATTAGTAATGCAAGTATAAGATGCATCCAGATACATGATTTCAAATAAGAAAGCACAAATTTTACAAGAAAATTCGAAACCTTAAAGCGACGAATTTGCCTCAAGGCGCTTTATAAGTCTACATGGGTCTTGATGTGTGTGGTCATAATACAGGCCAGAGTGGACCATAATTTTTCGAAAGAAAGTTCCTATTTTTGAATATTTAACTATCTAAAAGCGAGTAAGTAATCTTAAAAAAAATTGTTTTTCTTTAATGTTAGAGCCAACATGCAGGGCTTTAATTTCGAAACGGACTGCCATCAATATAATTTTATTTTGAAGAATTAAACCAAATACAAAAAATACGTCGACTTAGATTAGAAGTAAAATCGGATGGTCAGTTCAGGATTTGGAGAAAAAATCTGTCGTATTAAGACAGAAATATTAAGCGACTAAATATCTGGTAACTTAATGATTTTTATTTATTTAATGAATTGTTGAAAATGTCTACCGTTACTCGCTAAGCAGTAGCAAAGTCCGTCTTGAATATCTTGGCTAACATTGATCAAAATTTGAGGTAAATTTGATGCAGATTTTATTCATCAAGCAGCATAATCCCATTTTCATTCATTTGATTTTCAAAAAATTATGTGAAGTGGTTCAACCACGTTTTATAAAAGATGCATTTTGTTTCATATAATTGCAGCCCAAAGTTAACTGTGCGAAAATTGAGTAATTTCTTCTCTAGATTGATGTAGGTTTTCATTGTTCCAATATCTGCAGTGGCATTTGTTAACAATCCCATTTAAAAAAAATTCGATTGATCGGTGAAGAAGAAATTGGTTAATTAATAATTATAATAACATAGTTTAATTAATAAGCAGGAGAAATTCGTCTGCATTCTTATCATATTCGATTTTTTAGAATATGATTCCTCCCGAGGTTGGGATAGGAGGGGATGTTGTAAACAACTGCTTTGAAATGACCCCAAGGAAAAAGGTCCGGAGGGGTCAGATCTGGAGACCTTACTGGCCTCTCTTATCAAAGTTGACATATTTTTCATATTTTGTTGAACTCCTCAAATGTAACTGATATTTAAGGTACATATTTCGTTTCGAAATAGAAGCCTTGTACAATAAAAGACACGTAAAGTGCCCAGGGAACAGTAAATAATAACTTTTTGAACTCATACTTAGAGTATAAGTTGGTTTACAAATCGTCTAAAGACAATCAGCTTTCTCAGAAAGAAGCGAAGTCACATTAAGCTAGAAGAAAACCAATAGCAGATGATTCCGAACCTTATGAAACACGCCAATATAGATTCAAAGTCCAATTGAAACCACACCAGAAATCTGCCCTTGGTTCTCATTTCAATAAGTCATACTTTATCAGCCTCATATCATCTATGGCGTAAAAGTTCGCGTGTGACATTGATGATAATTTCGGCATCGCGACAATGAAAAAATCTAGTAAATTCAGACAAAACACCAAAACGCACGAAAAACACATCCACACCATACTCCAGCGAAGCGAAGGTTGAGTACTGATGTAATGAGAGCCAAATCGAATACGGAAACTAAGGTGAGTTTGGTTATCTCTTCATTGTATTGTGCTGAATTTCGAGGTCCCATCTGGGCAAAATCGCGCTTATTATAATACATTGTTCCTAGAGGTCGGATACTATATGATAACGATTTCGATCAATGTTAAACATTAATGCTGAAATGTACGTACAGTTTGGAAGTAACAAGGTCGGACGGCTTGTTTCCGTATTTCGTCATTTGAAATGTATAGTAGTGCCAAATGTAATTTTACACAGTCTTCACTTCCAGCTGGATAAGCATGTAGAATGTCTTCTGCGTGGTAAGTTTTCAGTTGACGCAGTTTCGATTTGTTGGGTTTCGGACATATGCGGAAGCCAAAAAACATGTGAATCGGACGTTTGCAAAAAATCTTTAAAAGGAAGAAACGTGTAAGAATCTAATAGTAAACTAAACATTGCAAATCTTGCTACTCAGATGTGGTCGGATGTGAGCAGATGATTGCTGAAGTTTTACTTAAGGCTGAACGTATAAGAAACGATTAAGACCATCTGGAATTTGATAGGAACAAGCACTAACACTAGGTGTGGATGAGACTATTGAAAAGTTTGAACTAGGACCACAAGCCAAATGCGTCAACATTGATTGAATTTCGGAGCACCCAAATTACACTTCAACCAGTCTCAACTCATACCGGGAATGAAATAGTTTTGAAGTGATCTTCACTTCAAAGGTTCAGGTCCAATTCAGTTGACCCCAAGCTTAAGCTTCTGATGTACAACCGGTTTTGCGCAGGTTTTCCTTGATCAGGAACTTTGCAAGAAACTGGATCAATTGCGTGAATCTCAATTGTTCTGTCATCTTTTTCTCAGTCAGAAACTTCTTGATAAGTTCGAGCTGATATGAAAATAATAAAAACTGATGTTGTGAAGTGGGGTTATGGGGGAAAATTAGCGTTGCTCAATATAAACTCGATTGAAAGCAACTTTTTGTAGAATTCTGCTCCACTTATGCCCAGTTTCTGAAACGATCTTTATAGTTCCAATAGCCTAATCGGATCTACAAGTCGGAAAAATGGGTTTCTGAAACGTTCCATAAGAGCTAGCGGTTCGTTACATTGAAGAACCGATAAACGGTCGCTCACGGACCTTTATAGGTTCTATAAGTTGTAGGCGCAGCGCACGCAAGCGTATTTGCCATTAGTGTCAAAAGTCATACGAAATCAGCTGCGAGCAGAGAACATTTTTGGGAGTAAAATTTGAGTGTGAAAGGGAAGCAAAGTTTTTGAATATAATGGAAGATTCGACTTCGGACTCATCTGACGAGGAAGTTTTCGATGTTCTGAATAGTGAAATAATTCGCCATTTTCGAGCACGAAATGATCATTTTGAGAAATACGGCAAGATGAATTCCGAGATCGTTTTCGTTTAACCAAAAACGTTGTCCACTACCTAGAAGAGCTACTTCAGGAACAAATTCAGCGAGTTATACAGATAAACCACAGTATATCTGTTTGCCAACAACTGCTAATTACTCTAGGTCTAAGGTTTTATGCAACAGGAAGAGTGTACAAAATACAATTGCATAGTTTGTATTTATTTGATTTTTTTTTTGGAGCCCAACACTTATAGCTTGTAATATTAAATAGGCACCAGATCTCGGAAGTAAAATAAACCGGACAATTTTTTTTTGTAACACAAGTCACCTTAACCATTCTTTACAGATTCTTCTTCTTCGTTATATGGCTTTACCCACAGAATACCAAGCTTTGCCTACTTTATAGACTCGATAGTTATGGATCCACTAGCTTCGGCGTTTAGACACGTTGAGAAACCCACCATAAGTTATAGAACCTACAACTGTAGCGGACCGATAGTTATCGAACCAATAAGGGAATCTACCAGAAACCGGGCATTATACAGACGAACTTATAGTCCCTTTTGTGAAATGAGCTGTTTTTCATATAATATTTTCCTGTTAGTTGATATCTTTGTTGATTTTAGCATAAAATATAACGTTAATTAGAAAAACGTTATTTGCAAGTACGACCAAATACAATGTTGCCCAATTTATGAGTAAGTTTTTTGCGAGTATTTGAGATTTTGACTTTCCCTTTCTCTTTAAAAGCGCTAGACAACATTCGCAGGAAAGACGCCAATTTTGAATCAGCGTCTATAACAAAAAACGTCCAAATATCATCAACACGCTTCTCGCCTCGCACTGTTGGTGAAAATCTTATTACTTAAAACCTAAAAATATCAATCCACAATGAAACATTTGGGAACCCAGTCTATTGAGCTGACGTACTTAAACAAATAGCCAGTGTATTTTGGCAAGGTTGCGACCCAGACCTTGATTAGGTGTTATTTTGGTCGATGGCCAGATCGATCTTGAAACTTTTCTCAAACCATTTTATAGATTATTTGGAAATTAGTTTTGAACCTTTAAGAGTGCAATTGCAATTGCAATTGCACTAGAAATATTTGCGTTCCTCCTAATCAATAGACCAAGATCCTCAGCTCCAAGCGCTAATTGGTATAGTAGTAGTTACGGGGTGAAATCTACTGTACCTAGGTCTGGTATGGAGCTGGTCGGCTCCTCAAGTTTGGCATCGAGGAGTTTGATCCTGGGAGGCGGAGGAGGCGGCGGAGGTCGCATTGTGGTGGTGGTAGTAGGCGACGAGGTGGAAGACGAAACGATCCCGCCCGAAGGCACCCGGAAGTCCTTCGACTCACTCTTGAAGACGATGGTGGAGGTTTGCATGGTGTGATTAGCTGGTTGTATTTGTTGCGCGGAACTAATACTGAGTGGACTTACTCGTCACCTTAAGTGTTAGGCAGATGGTGACTTGCTAGGACTACGATATTGCACGACTTGATTGCTCCAGTTTTGGATAACTTGGTTCACTTGCTGAATGGCAGACAGTTTGGCGCCGTTTAAGTCCATTCAGTTACGGCACCTAAAGTAGCATTGTCATGGGCGAATGGGCGATTTTTCACGCTGGGCATCCCCGGCAGATTTTTCGAAAATGAAAGTAGCGCCACTGACCGACCGGCAACCACCGAGACCGCGAGCGACTCGCGAGTTAGTTTGACCGATCGCGGAGCGACGCGAAGAATGAAAGTGAAACCGTTCGGCCCTTCTGGCACGTCGTGGTCTTGAGGGCGCGCACGCGTGCTCCCGTTGCTGAGTTCCCGAGCGAAAGGGACGCTGAGGGCGAGCTGCTGAGGTAGCGGACGCGACGGACATTCGCTGACGCGTTTCGGTGCTATCCAGTCGCGGGCGCTCAGCGAAATGCGCGAGGCAAGCGAACGAGGGAGTGTTTGGCCTTGTCCTTGAACGGGTGCCTTGAACTCGACGACGTCGCTTGAATCGATTTTGATGATCGTCGGGATGCGTAGGGGTGCGTGCGGCTGCAACATGCGACGCCTCTGCTCTACTGAATAACCACATTGTCTCCTCCCCTTAAGAACACCTCAGAATCTGTCTTCCGACAATTTCCCAAATCTAATGGAACTAGAGGGGAGTGACCATTAGTGCAGGAACGAATGCGCTCCCATGGACTACGAGGGGATCCAAGCTATTATTAAGTACTAGATGCGAAGTCGGCTGAATTCGGGCAAAATTGCTTGTTAGGGATGGCGAATGCAAGAGATACGGACATATTTTCTGATGAGCGCCTTGTTGCATTTCGTCTCATGAGGTTTAATAATTTGATTTATGTATAGTCTGTCCCAATACTTCCGACAGTGACGCAATAATTGTCGCTCTTCTGCTATTTGTTAAACTGTTACAATTCGCGAAATGATGAAAGAATATTACAGTTACTGATTTGATTTCTTGGCGAGTTTGGGCAGTTTCTGTAAATTTTTCTAAGTTATTATTTCAAATTAGGTTCCGATACATTTCCTATTTGTGTGTGTTTTTTTCCGGGAACCAAAAACGCCTAACCAAAATTGTGAGGATGAACAACGGTTCATTCTGCTGATATTTTCACTAGCATCGGTTACGGTTCATATGAGTTCTTTATTTTCTTCATAATTTGAAGTCACTCGCCAAATAGCTTGGGACAGACTATAAACGTCGGAAAACGTTGTTGCTCCAGCA